ATTTTAAATAAAAAATATTTTCTTGTAACTGCACAGTAAAGCAGGATATAATGCCATTTAAAATGACATTATATCTAAATGACATAACTTTATGTCATTTAAAATGACAAACAATTTTCTCTTTATATATATGTGAAATAAAGTCATATTTGTTTATGCCAGAGAATAAATCTATAAGGACCTTTTCTATTTCCTAAGAATTACAGGAAAAATTTAATTAAACTGTTAAAAATAATTTTTAATTAAAAATTATCATTTAACCGTGCTTTTAAGGAAATCATTGTATTGTTTTTTAATTTCATCCATTTGTGTATTAATTATTTATACTTTTTTATTGGGCCACGATATCAAACACTTTCACGATAGAATTTATTGTGGTTCGAGATCACCATTTTTTAGGTGGTCCTTTAATGTAAATGGAAAGGTAAAATTGAAAAAGAAGAAAAATAACAGGGATAAAATAGAAAAGAAAAAATTAGTGTTGTGAGAGGGAGCACCAAATCATTAGGTGATCCCGGAAAATATAAAATATTTCCCACTTTCACATATATTTGGACCCCACATATAAAGCCTGTCACAAGAATATAGAGGCGCAAAGTAAATGATAGAGATCTTCATCAATCGATTCAAATCATGTTAATAGAAGCAAAAAATTGATAATTGAATTAATCAAAAATTAAAAATTGAAAAAAATCACAAATTGTAATTGGATCCGGCACTATATATATATATATATATATATATATATATATATATATATATATATATATATATAAAATTGCAATTATTGCTATCCCCATTTTAGACTCGTCATTCTTACTATCAATTTAATTATCATTGGATCAAAATCAAATCAATGGTTAGAAAATAACATAAAGTGAAATCCATTAATTTGATTTTTTGATCCAATAACAACAATATCGACAGTAAGAGATGGTAAAAAAAAAATGATAGTAACTATAATCTATCCATATATATATATATATATATATATATGTGAGGTAGGATCCTTTGACACCGGTGTCAAATTTTAATTTTGACACCTCATCTCAGAACCGTTTGATAAAAAAAATAAAAAATCAATGGTGTCACATGCTTGCAAATCAGAGTCATTGATTTTTTTTTTATCAAACGATTCTGAGATGAGGTGTCAAAGGATCCTACTATATATATATATATATATATATATATATATATATATATATATATATATATATATATATAAAAGACATGATCATTAGTTTGACACCAAATCTCAACCGTTGATTTTTGCTAATCTAATGATTATGATTTATTTAAAATTAATAATAAATTAATAAATATTACATAATAAATTATAATTTATTGAAAATCAACGATTAAGATTTGGTGTCAAACTCACTTTTGAGTTAAAGGATCTTACCATATATATATATATACGAGGTAGGATCCTTTGACACCAATGTCAAATTTAAAGTTTGACACCTCATCTGAGAGACATTAGATCAAAAAAAGTCAATGGTGTCACATGCTTACAATTTATAAATCAGAGTCGTTTATCTTTTTTTATCTAATGGCTCTCAGATGAGGTGTCAAACTTCAAATTTGACACTGGTGTCAAAGGATCCTACCTCTCTCTCTCTCTCTATATATATATATATATGTATATATGTATATATATATATATATATATATATATATATAAAGTATAATCTTTTGATATCTTACTTATCACCTTATTATTTAAAACGAACGATATACTTGTCAATTTCGCAACAAGTTTTTGGCATCGTTGCCGAAAAAATAATAATTTATGATAATGTATTTCCATTTATCATACGATTGTAATTAATTTAGTTATTCTCATTAGTTATTTATTAGATACCAATAAATTATACCATCAACGATTAAGATTAAATGTAAAATTAATTATTCTCACACCGATGTAATTTATATATTTATTTGACCGATTTGGGTCAAAAATAAATTTATAATTTTGGCCCAATCACTTATTTATTGATTTTGAACGACCCATGACACTCTTAAATTAAAAAAATAAGACAGTTTAGATTTTTAACTGAAAAGACTCAATCCAAATATTGAAATATTTAATTTCAAAATAATATATCATTATCTAATATCAATTCCCAATATCGTCAGTTGGTATTATTTCTCAAAATTATCATTATAACCATTTTTAAAATTGATAATTTTTTAAATGGTCAATTAGTCAAAAAAGGATGAGCGATGAAAATGAAATAAAACCCTATAAATTGAACATGTGACAAAGTCTGTTCCCGTAAAAAGCAACAGAGTAGAGCAAGTAACAGAGAATAGCGAAACAATGTACACATTCCAATGACAAGTGACCAGCGACTAGCAATAGAGAAGCCACAGGTGGAGCGGTGGGAAGGGTACAGATCGACAACACCACCATCAGAACATGAGCCCATAAAGACGACATGTCTTTTAAGTCTTAGATTTATAGGATAAATATGAGGGAGGGGTTACACTAAAAAATTTATCATTCTTACAATTAATTTAATTATTATTGAATAAGAATTAAATGTAATGGCTCATAATTAATTTTTATAATCATAATTTTTTTTGTCCTTTCATTAGTCTTTCATCCACTTTTTTCTTCTCTGTCTAGGTCTATGAATTTCTCCCTCTCGGCTATTTTCAACCATTCTCAATTAATTCAATCAGAGCAATAGCAAGAATTGGGCTTTCCCCTTTTATTTAAATGATTTATTCCAATTATTCTCTTAATTCTGATAGACGAACTGGAGTATGACAACAATGAAACGATGAATAATAGCAGCTCTTATGGCTATGCTTCACTGTACCAATATAATAAATACGAGCAGGTGAATCCCAAAAAATAAAAAATCACTTGAAATCAAGCGATATAATTTATAGAGATTTATTAAAGTATTTCTTTTCTTTTTATTCGGGTCAATGGGATTTACGTTTGTAAACAACATTATTCTATCAATAACGCATTTCTCCGAGAGATGAGGAAAAAATGGATGAGAGAGAATGAAAGAGTAAAATATTAGAATTCTAAGAATTGTTTATGAATCATTAGATTTAATTCTGATCCAACGGTGATTATGTTAGTTGTAAATGTGACAAATTTTTTTAATGACAAGTATAACCCCTCCCTAAATATGAAGGTAAATTACTTTTTCATATTACAAGATAAAACAATCTCCTATTGCCTTCACATTGAAAAAACAGCTCACTCTTTGTTTAAAAAATAAAATAAAAAAACTGATGTGCTCAATTCATTTGTATCAACAGGAGGCAGAAAGTAATGCCCAAATATAAAATGACAAGAACTGAAGCAAGACCTAGACTCTTTGTTTTAACACCTTCAATAATAACTGAGTTGGGTCGGGTTAAGGTTTATGAGTTTCATTTTTTCATCAAAAGTCCTGCTGCCAATCTTAAATACTTGGTGAGGACGGATTCACGGGGTTCTTCAAAGGAAGTTGAAATCATTGCGTTCAATAATTCATAATTTAATTGTTCAAAAAAATAATAATTCATAATTTAATTAAAGCTAACCTTTATTCAAAGGGCCTCTAATCCTAATTAAATCATCAATTCATCATTTAATTATTAATTGACCTTACATCTTAATTTCTTTTAGGTGACGTTTGATAGAAGAGAAATTCTTTTTACCCTGATTTCCGAGAATATGGTGCGAAAATAAGTTTGTCAGGAATGTTATCAAAAAGTTGTCTGGTAGCCAAAATATTTTCAGGAATGTTGGATTATTTTTGCTGATGCTATGTTTGGTTGATTGTAATTTGTAAATATTGCTAGGAAATATGGATCGAATTTACAAAATTACCTTCAATTATAAAATTGCAAAACAACGGGATACGAAAAGGTCGATGCTGTAGCTGTTGATGTTCTTCTCCTTCGACAAAACAACAACGACAATAACAACTACGAGAACAAGGGGAGAGAGGTAAGACGACCAAAGACCTACGCTTTTTCTATGTTCTCTCTCTGCACTTTGTTTTTGTCATAAAAGAAAAAATACGAAAAGATGGGGGTGGTATTTTTATTTGTGTGTAGTAATGTTCGAGACAGAGAGCTTTGATCTATTCACAAATGAAAATCGATACACAAAGCCAAGCTCTAAGGTTAGCTATGGGGTAATTTTGTCTAATTATTTTGCTTTAATTTTCCCATCTCGTGGGATTTGTGAAACACCACCTATTGGGTGGGATTATTCATTCGCATTTTGGGTCAACTTTTTGTTCACAAAAGCCAAGTCCTGGGAAAGCAAGATTTCCCAAAAAAAAATTCCTTTTCCCTTACCAAAGGTGGGAAAGCAAGATTGCCAATATAACTTTCTCAGCAATATAAAATTTGCCCGAAGCCACAACAACTCTCTAAGGATGCTACATTTTTTTTCAACGAATAAGTGTTGTATGTCAAATAAAATTCCATTTCTTTTTCCTACTTTCCTTTTTCTATTGTAATTAAAAAAAAAAAAATCATCATTAGCCCATCAACCAGTAAAATAAAATTCAACCCATCAAACGGTTGCAGACACTTTCAGAAAGGCTGCAAAACTTTGCCGAAAATAAATAGAGTGATGTATGGAATTAGCACAATTTAAGTATATGCGAGGACAAACAGGCTCTGTGATCCATAAAACAAAACATTAAAAAACAAACATTTCAATGAGTTGATAGCGAAAGGAGCATGATGCCACTGTACAATGTCAGCAGCATGTGAACGCAGGTGAACCCCCCCTCCCTCCCTCCCTCCCTCTCTTCCTTCTCCCCACGTGGACCTTGCACTCGGCAATACCAGACAATTTTGTATTTCTTACTATCCTTAATTCCTTAAATAGTTTAATAACGTATACATATATATACAATGAACTACGACTATACTAAAATCAATCCAAAGGTAAACTAACTGGCTATGTTCATTATGACAAAGATATATATATATATATATATATATATATTTTAATTATGGTTCGTCTGGAATAGCTTAAAATAGATTGAAACTTAAATGTTGTAAATATTATCAACAAAGAAACATGGTTTAAATAAACTACTTGGATAATTAAACCAAATCAGATTTGTTCTGTCTAGGTCTGGTGAAACACACCTACAGGGGATGGGGAGCAAAACAAAAGAAGGGAAAGGAGGAAAGGAAAACTACTCTTGTACACCAATATGTCTGTCCAAGTATGCAATATGTATCGCTTGCTGTTAGTAGTATGTATTGATGATGATGGCGATGGCGATGGTGACCTCATTTGCTTCTTCTCTAGGATCTAATTCTTTTGATCTAGGTATATTCGGCTATACATCTAGAAGATTCTTTCTTCTACATGCTTCTATAAATCTGCATAGAAAACAAACCGGCAACAAAAGAAAAATCATTTATTGAAAAGAGTCACTAATTTACCAGATCACAGGCAAATTCTGAGATATGATTTTTACTTGTAAAGAACTAACCAAAAAAAAAAAACTTACCCTAATAAAAATGACCCCCTGCTGGCCACTTCTATTCTTATTATTACCTACAGTTGAAAATCTTGATTAACGAGAAGCGACATCACCAGAAGTGGTTGTCAGTTCTAACTTCTTGTGAGAAGATGAGCTCTCGTTGACCTCTGCCAGTGTAGAGAAGTTAGGCACATAATCTCCAGCTGCTTTTGTTGGTGAAGCAAAAAGGCTATCAGGAAGGGCCTGCTCCACACTTCTCCAGAGCCAATAAAGCATGTCACCAAAGTATACAATATCAGAATACTTGAAATGAAATATTCACATATCCTTAAGAAGGGAAAATTAAAATGATTAACGCCCCCAAAAGCCTGCTCCTCAGTGCAATGGAAATAAGATCTGAAACAAAGTCAAGCCCCATACCTATTACTATGATCTATGACTTCTGCATTTGCACCATCCTTTATATTCCCACTATCAGTATCATCAACGCAAGCTGGATCAACCTCCTTTCGTGGCTGCTGCTGCTCAGATGCAGTACCTAAAGATTTAGTAGAAGTGAGGCTGTCACCGTAGCCTGCAACAAAAAGCATATAAAAAATGTAAATTGTCTAACCCTGTTCACTAGAACTGTACCATAGGCTACCATCGATTGTCTAACCTGTAATATCTCCTTTAATGCTATCAGAAGAATGACCCGCATTGTTAGTATGACTGTAAAGTTGATAGGGCAGGGGAAAAGGAGCACCAACAGAGAGACTGCGTTGATGTTGGTTTTGGTGAATGGGATTATTCTTGAAGTCTGGAAGCTGCAGATTATTCAGCCTTCTTGCTTGAAGTTCAATGGATTGCTGCAACTCAGCCTGCTCCTCGAATTTTTTTCTCAATAAGACATCATGCGGATTATATAACATTCTCGCTCCTGATTCAAACAGATTTGATGAGAACAAAATGGAAATAAGATATCATGCGGATTATATAACATTCTCGCTCCTGATGGAAATAAGATATCATGCGGATTATATACAGATTTGATGAGAACAAAATGGAAAGAGCATGAGAGACTCCTTCCCAAGTATCTACATGCACATGAACTTTTTCGGAAGTGTGAGGGCCTCAGAGGAAAGGGTTAATGCACAGCTACTTCTTTAAGTACACATCCTTTCCAGTAGCTATGTAGAATAAAGATGGCAAGGTGAGAAATTTGATTACCAAGATGGAAATCACAAGGCTCTTTAGAGTCAAACCCAGAAGGACTTAAACATGGCGAAAAATCTCCCCTCTCTAATTGCTGTTGTTGATGCTGCTGTCTCCTGCATACATCAGTCATGATAATATTAGTTTAGTAATAGCAAAATATAAACCTAACAAAAAAATGATGGCCACTTACTTGTCAGGGATTTTCCCCTTCTCCTTGTAGGGCTTGACAAGTACACGAGAATCACAGATAAAATGAGGATTCCCTTTGGATAAAATGAGTCTCACTGTCTCTGGATAGACAAAGGTAACAAACCCAAACATTCGCTTTTGCTGGTAAGGAATTCTCACATCTTGTACAGGTCCAAATTTGCTTCAAAAGAACAAAAGTAGCTATTCAATTAGAAAAATAAGAACTTGGACATGCACAGACACGACAGTGTTACAACTTACAAGTTATAGGACAATGTAAGGTCAATTAGAGATCACAATTCAAATAATTAATCAAAAGTTAGTTCCCACCAGATAACTTGTGCAGAATAATTTCACTTACATGCACAGCTTCAAAAGAACACTTAATTAATAGAACAATGTATCACTGTCTTTAAACTGTAACCTTTTCAGGCCACAATTCCTATGGCTCTATCTCAAACCCTATAAGTCATAATCAACTTGTTCATTGATATAACTATCCACTTATGAGTGACTTTATTTCAAAAAAATTGCAGATTAAATTCCACCTTTGCTTCAAAAAAATTGTAAGTGAGATCTTGGGATGGTGTGCATCATCAGGTGGCTATTATTCACAAATCATAGTGGAGCAAAAGTATAACATGCTTTCGAAAAGCACTTCTCAATTTTTGTCCCATAACCAGCTTGATATCCTACAATCTTACCAATTATGAGAGATATATTTCATACATTGAAACAGAAATTTTACTTTAACTACTAAAACATGGACTACTTTAAGCATAATTTCTTAACAAGGACTAAACCAACCAAGGATGCCGATTTATAGTTTCAAGAGAACATACTAATTAGCATTTAGCATGTTCGAAATTCTCTTTTAGATATAGATTGGCCATTTAGGTAGACTTTTCCTTTGACAAACCAATAGTCATGGATAAGCAGAACTTAAGTAAGTCATTTTATCTTAAAGGTAAAACACACATTGAACTGATAGCTGAAAATGTACAGCATTAACCCAGTCTCCGCATGGGAGACATACATCATGCTCTGCAAGGTTTATATAAACAAAAAAAAAAAGACAAACCCTAAATGTTACACATCAAACATACAACTTGGAAGTGAAATTCTTATCGTAATGCGGTAATATGTCAATCATTACTGAGTTTCAATTGGGTACTCTAGATTGCTGAGGTACCAGTGATAAACCCATAATCACCAAGCAAGCTCAAATTAATCAAGGATGGCAAAAGGCACTATCATTACTTAATTAAGGAGTCGGGATCAATATCAGAGGCAATAAAAAATCCATCTTTCCTGGGGCTTCCAACAAAGATCACAGTATCACAAGGAAAAACATTGCAGGTGTGCACAGTGAGAATAATGGAAAATTACCACAAATTTTTGCTTTTATGCATGGTACCTTGAATAAATAATGACAATATTTGAGAACCTTGAAAAAACTAGCTACAACAATGTGATATAACTTCACATTTTTCACCTGTATTGCATTGGTGCATTGTTCATATCATGTTTTACCTAAAGTACTCTGAAACATCTTCATCTTTGAATGTGCTTTCAGCAGGGAATGTTAAATAAATCTGTCGCGAAGCAGAGTTGGATTTTTCTCCAGAAACCATGGCTAGAAAGTCATTCCTTTCAAGCCTGCCCCGGCCAAAGTTGTAAAATTCTTCGCCCATCATGAGTGCTGCTCTGAAATACAATACAAGCACATATGAGAACAAAATATCAATTAATAACCAAAAAAAAAGTGGACGAAAATAAACAAAACCAAAGAGGGTTCCAAATTTTGGTCTCGTCTCTAATAAAACCTCTGGTGATCATTTTGTTGCTGCATCAAAAAATCAATGTATCTGTCGTATGAGGATGGTGAAGCTCCAGCCACTAGCTGTGATGCAGCCATTAATCTTTGATGTTGCGCGGCCTTGAATCTGATAAACTCTTCACGTTGCTCTAAACCCTCAAACTTACTAGGAGAACCAACAGTGACAGCAGCATCCAATGAATCAGACAAACCCCCATGCACAAATTTGCAATTGGTACCATTTTTACAGAACCCTTTGGCAAAGTAAAGGCATGGCTTATAACCAATTACTGGTTCCTCACATCCTCCAAAACAAGCATCGCTAGCAGAGTAACTCCTTCTGTGGAAATGTGCATCGCCATTGTTGACAGAGTTCCAATTGTGAGCCCTAAAACCCAATTCGAGACGTGGATCGACCAAATCCTCGTTCTTAGATGACTCATTGAGGAAGGGAAAGTACTCATTCACTTGTTCCTCATCAACAAAATCATGAACAGTGTTACAATCACCATTGACACGGGGTGAAGAAAATGAAGAGGCGGCTCGGATATTCTCGTAAGAGAGTAAAGGACTCAACTTTGGGGCATTGGGGTTGTTAGGGAACCCAGAGTGTGGCCAAACATGCGAGGAGGGTGAAGATGGGTTCTTAGTGAAGTCAAAGGCATTGGTAGGCATTCTAGGAGAAGACTTAGAGAATGGGTTACTAGAAGTCCTAGTGAGTCTTGATATGGGGTTCAGAGGAGAAGGAGAAGAAGGAGAAGAGAGTGTCGAACCCAAATGGGTCTTAACCCTCAGAACAAGGGTATGCAGCACAGGGTCAGGACTACAAGCTAAGCGTACTAATTCAGATTCTTCAAGGTTCATGAGAAGAAAACCCATGATTTTTGAGGCATTTTCTGGGTCAAGGTTTTTGATTTTTGAGAGAACCACATCTGTGGCTTCATAAGAACCCATGAAAAAAATGAAATCTTGGACTTGTTTTTGTTTTGTTTTTTTGGTTTGGTTTCACTGTAGAGAGAAAGAAGGAAGAAATAATGAGAGAGAAAAGAGAGAAGCGGTGGTGGTGGAGATATCTGTTAGCACATACCTGACCAGTAGCAGTAGGTTTTGGAGTGTATGCATATGCTGAACAAACACACACACACTCTCTCACTCACTCTCTCTCTCTCTCTGTTTTATTCTCTCTCTGTAATCTCTCTCCTATCTTTGGAGGGTGAGAGCGGTAGATTTCTCAGATCCACTACTACTACTACGAAGCTGGATAGTCTCAACAACGTAAGTTAAAACAAACCAGCCCATTGACCAAATGGTCAAAACTTAAAAAAAATAAAAAAAATTACCATTTCCGTGAGATTAGCCTTTCTCATGTTTTGATTAACATGATTAGGTTATTTAAAGACATTTTAATCGAAATCAAGGGTTGAGATTGATTTATATATGGACATGTATTCTTTCTTCCTAACTTTCATCCCAATTCAGATAATTATTAAGTAAACATAAATGGCAATTAATATATAATAATTAATATATCAAATAACGGCAGGCATTTAATTCCTCTCCACTTTTTCATGAATCGATTTCTCTCCTTTCGTTTCCCTTTCAAATATCCTTTTTCAAATTTTCATATTTATATCAGGATAAATTAAAAAAAGGAAAAAATATCTATCCTTTTAAATGATATAAACTTATATCATTTTAGATCCTAACCGTTGATTTCCGTCCATCAACGATTATAATCTATTGGGTCAAACTTAATGGGCCAAATTTATTATTAATTAATTAATAATTTTGATCCAATAAATTATAACCGTTGATGGACGAAAATCAACAGTTAGGATCTAAAATGATATATAAACTTATATCCTTTAAAATGACAGATGTTATTCCCTAAAAAAATACTGAAAATATTTATTAAAAATAATATTTTGATGATTGAATAAATTTTTGTAAAATAATAAAATGTGATTTTTAAAAAATGATAACAACAATATTTTAAATTTAGAAAAATTAATTGATTAGAAAAAATACATTTTTATTTTTATGAAATCACGAAGCTATCAAATTGCTTAGCTTGATATAATATATATAAATTGAAACTGTTTTTTTTTTAAAGGGATAGATATTTATCCTTTTAATGATGGTCATTTTAGTTTAAACAAGTATTTTTTATTTAAAAATTAAATTAAAAAACAAACTTTCCACTTTCTTTCCTATGATTTTCATTGTGTATATCTTTCTTTAACTTAAAATAACATAATTCTATATCAATCCTTTATTTAAGTAAGTATTATACAGCCATAAAACAAGAATGATGTGATAAAAAAAAGTTATTTTGGCTTGATGGGTAAAATGATAGTTTGATAATTACAACAATAATCTACAAAAACTGAAAAACATTCTTTAGGTATTAACTCAATGCCAATAAAAAAATAACTAATTATAAATGTTTGAATATTTCCAACCAAAAAAACAAAAAAAATCGTTAAATTGTAATTATTAAAAATATTGATAATTGATAATTTAAAATAATTTTATAAATCAAGCTAATAAAAATTTGCAAACAAATCCTGAAAAGATGGAAAATTATTTCTGTATTTATGTGTTAGTTATGTTATTAATTATAGTGTTAATTATTATTTGACTCACATAATTGCCATAGTTATAATTATCAATATTAGTTATTATTTATACTATTAATTAATATTTACTTAAAAATGGAGGTAATATGATAGGGAGGCAAAACTACATAATTAATGCAAAATTAAAATCAAATGATTCCATTAATGGAGATACGAAATTATTTACCGAAATAAACAATCTATTTCGCTTAGGCAACTAATTATGCGTAGGGTATATGGCATAATTAGCCACATGTACAATTAGTTGCCAGCATCCCTTGCAAAACTCATGGAATCGTGTCACCTGGCATGATTCAGGTTGTCTATTTCAAATTTAATTACCACTCCCATATTTATTTCTCATTCCATGTAAACATTAAAGGAATAATGTTTGTTTTTTTAAATGATAGTCATTTTAATTAAAACTATTATTTTTTGTTTAATATTTAAATTTAAAAAAAATCTTTCACTTTCTCCTACCATAGTTTATGTTTCTCTAACTATAAAATATATTAGTTTTGACTAAAATGTCACAATTTTATTTCTTTTAAAAGGACAAACACTAATATCTAATACTTTTTTTTTTTTTAAATTAAGGGCTTGTTTGAGAGTTAATTTTATGAGGGAAAAGAAAAGAAATGAAGACTTTTATTAATCATTTTCCTTATTTGTGAGTTTAAAAAAGTGAAGAAAAGGATTTAGAGATTTTCACAAAATTCTTCTGAATTCTGATTATTAAAATTAAAGTTTTTCAAATTTGGGGAATTTTAACTCTCAAACAAAGAAAAAAATACCTTTTATTTTTCTTCATTTCCTTTCTCTCTCTCTCCCTTAAATTCTTTTTCTTCCCTTATTACTCTCAAAATTCCCAAACAAAGCTTAAAGTAAAAATCTCAAATACTAATTATCATTATAAATATTCATTTATTAAATAATGCGATTTTTGAAATTTACAAATTTAAAAACGTTAAATTTATTATCATCAATTCTGTTTTTTTATTTATTTATGGTGAAATAATAATTAAAAAGGTAAATAATTTTCAGGCACGAATTTTGAAAGCATTGCAAATTTATTGTATATAACTATTGATTTTAACAAAATTTGAAAAATAATATAATCATCACGAAAGAATTCCCAATTATTACTAAATAATATGAATTATTTAAATTGGGGAGGGATCTTTGATTGGGGAGCAATAATGAGAAGTCTCATGCTATATCTCAAGTGTTGATTCCCGTGCATTCAACAAGATAAGTTATTAAGAATTAATAATTAATTAATGATTCTGTAAATTATAACTCTCAGATACTTGAAGATCAAAAGTTGAGATAAAGAATAAGAGGGTGTATTGGAATAGGATTTTAAAAGATTTTTTTGAGATAAAAAATCTTATAAATTTTTAAAGACTATTCAGAATTGGAGAGATTTTAAAGGATTTTTTTAGAATCAAGATTTCATAAGATTGAATTTTAAATGATTTTAATAGAATTTATAAGATTTGAAAGGACAATATGGATTTATAAGATTTTAAAAAATTATATAATTTTTTAACAAACATTCAAAATTACAAGAGTCAATAAAAAAAGTTAATAAAGAAATGCAATGATATTAATAAAAAAGTAAAACGTAATTAGTAAAATTCATGATAAAATTTCGTTTGAATTTTTTTGCAATTGATCTTGTAAACCTTGGAATTTTTGTTCTACGTGATGAGAGTTTTCTAACCATATATCATATGCATGTCTTAATCAATATTCCACGAAAATTTTGAATATGAATTTCTGGGTTTTGTTACCTGAAAGTTTACAAAATTTCTCAAATTGTTTTTAATCGATACATTGAAATCTTAAATTGCTTTTGGGATTTTGAAAAATAAGTCTTTAGTGATCTATTGACACAAAAATTGTTTGAAATCGTTTCCTATAGCGAATGAATTTCGTTCATGAATATATTATTATGAAACATAGGGTTCATATTATGAAAGTTTTAATTTTTCTTTAAATCAATCTTGTTTCATTGTTGTAAAATGAAAATTGGTTTGGGAGTTTTTGTTCCCTATTGTTTTTTCACTATTTATGTTGTTTTTAATGTAAAAATCACACATTTTTGTACCAAGCAAAATCGTGACCAATAGTTTAAAAAATCACTTTTAAACTTTCAAAAATTCTCAAATATTGCTTCAAAATCAGGTATTTTTTAGATAAATTAGATTAAAATCTTGTTGGGTTGTTGATCTGGGTTGTTTTGTGATGAAAATCGCTCAAAAATCTGTTGTTTTTGAGCTTTGACGAAGCTCCCACGACGAAACTCGGTTTCAAGTAGGTCAACTCACCAAAGGAAGAGGAAGACACTGCAATAGAAAAATCTCAAGAAATCCTAGTGGTTAGGGTGAGATTGTGAGAGATAAATACTATTTATATTTATCATTAAAAAGTCTCATGAAATCCATACCAATAGAAAATTCATTAAAATCGTAAGATTTTTGAATATCACAAGATTATTTTTTCTTGTTTAAAATCGTGATTGAATAACAACGGATTTGGATAGACTCTAAAATAATATTTTAAAATCCTAATCGAATACCACATAATTTTTTTTCAATCCTTTAAAATCTTAATTGAATACAAATGATTTTTTTTGTTAAAAAATAATCCATTAAAATCATTTGAAATCTTAATTCAATACACCCCTCAGACTTCTTATTGCTAGAGAAGATTCAAAAAATTCTTCCTCAATAAAATTATTTCCCCGGAAATTGAAAAAAAAAAAAAATCAATTACTACACAATGATTGATGATAATAAATTTGACCTTTTTAAAAATTTAAGAAATTAAAATCCCACGACTACAAATTATTTATCATATTAATTACGGAAAAAAATATCTAATATTATTTTAGCCAACTTGGTTTAATGTTCATCTAAATGACGTCGTTTTGAGGTTGAAAATTTAAAAATTAGAATAATAAAGACTATTATAATCTTAAAATAAATTAAAATTATAAATACACCGTGATTTTCATCCTAAACCGATATGTTTCGGTGAATATTTGACAAAATTATCTAAAATAATTTTAGAAAAAATGAAACCATTAATTATTATTTGACTGGACAAACATTTACGACACTGATTATTATTGATGTTAAGTGAAGAGATTATTGGATGAATGATAATCAAATTTGAAACAAAAATAAGGATTTGTATCATGACACAGTCTCGTGAGTTTTGCATGTGGATGTGCGCAATTAGTTGCGCAGGGCGTGCACAACTCACCTAATTGTATCATGTGGCGGCTGTGCACCCTTGTTATTAATTGCATTATTTCGAAAAATAATTTCAAATATGTATTAATTGAAAATTTTGTTTTTAAAATTGCATTAAATTATATCATCTTGCCATGACAGGGATGAGGGAAAGGCATCAGCACTAGTCCTCATTATATCTCCATGTAAATAAGGGTGTATATGATCATTATTTTATTCTCCCATCTGTTTTTGGGAAGACTTTTTTTCCCCCTACGTAAGAAGAGCTTCTGGATAGAAATAAATATACTCATTCTACGATTTTTTATATTTAATAAATAGAGAGAATTATTTAATAAATAGAGAGAATTATTTAATAAATAGAGAGAATTATTTAATAAATAGAGAGAATTTCCTTTGTTCTAATTTTAAATTACGATAGCACATTTTACAATGTACTATTTAATAAATAATGTGTCTAAAAGCGAACAAATTAAAAATTATTTTTTTTTTCAAATTTTATTATTAATCGATCCTACTTATTTATTTTCTATAATACGAAAATAAATTGTTACGATTGTAGCATATCATTATTAATGCTACAATCGTAACATAAACTGATTTTATTAAATAGAATTTTTAATTATTTATGTAATATAATTATTAATTATTAATGCTATAATTTTATTAAATATAATTGTAGCATATCATTTTTATATATAGGTTTTTCATTTTTATGTAAAAAAAAAGAGTTTTCATTTTGCCATTCTCACTGATTTTTTTTATTTGCATTTACAATAGAAACCTTAATTTTTTTACAAATAAATTATAAAGAAATGACATCTTAATTTAGATAAGGTTTATTCAAAGGTTTCGACATATATAAATTATTTGCATTATTTTTTTTGGTAGACAGTATGTGCTCTTATTTATTTATTTTTCCAGTCTTGATTAATATATCCTTATAATTATTATTATAATCAATCATTAAATTCCGTAACAATTGGAAATCCCGGTCAACTATGATCTTTTCCGAAATTTAAACTTTAATCATCGCTTTAAAAATGAAACATTATTAGCTTTTATTCTGAGGTTAAAGCAAAAAAATAAAATAAAATGAGTAGGAATACTAATCATGTTTTATCTAAGAGTGCGAGGAAATTCTTAAGCTAACCTTTTTCATATGAACTTTTTCTCCTGACGAATTTCACTCTATGGAAGAGAATTCTTCTTACAAAAAAGTGGAATTTCCATTTTCGGGCAAAATAAAATTCATAAATGAAGTCAAATTCAATTAAAAAATACCAACTTCTATGAGTTGACAAGGGCACGAGATGATTGATTCACTGATTGGTTAAATTAGAGGTCGGTATCACAGGCTACGTTACGATTAAACAACAAATATCCTCCGTTGCTACCTAATTGAAACGTTGGTTTTCCACGTTGGTTTTCCACCTTTATCAGGCCTTTACACGTAACAAATACCAATACCATCTAAATGCATGGAGAGGTAAAGAACAACATTTGAGAAAAAAAAGATTGATGCATTAAAAGAACATAAGCACACTAAGCCTTCACACATAACACAAACAAGATAAAATCCAACGGCGATCCTTCCTTCCTCAAACATAATGGCCATTACATGCAAGAAAAGCAAGAACAAAAGATACTACACTGCAGTACCAGTATGTTAAACCATACACCATAATAAACTAAGCTAAAAAGTTAATATCATTCAACAAAGGATGTATTACATTAGAATCCTCAGCAACCAATATGTATTTTGCCTGACGGGAGCACAAGTATAAGAAAAATCTTCCACAAATTGACCAATAGAAACCAAGCCGCTCATTTAAGGGTCCACACAATGACACAGTCATGTAATCAATACACACCATGTCAATATCTCCTCCGAGGGCTCCTGGAGCGCCGTTCACGAGGTGGTCTGCAAAATGTCAAAGTTCCAAACATTCAAATGCTAAACTCAGACAAAATTTGGACAATTAAGTCTTAAGAAAATTTTAACTGAATCATTAACTTTCAGTTAGTCGAACTGTCGAAGTTCTGACCACAGTGGTTTTTAAAAGATTTAGAAGTTTACAACAGGGTGTTTGTAATTTGTATAAGGGAAGAGGCTTAGCATTTAGCATCTGTTTAACACAACTGAAAGAGAGAGAGAGAGAGAGAGAGGGGGGGGGGGGGGGGGAGAGAGGAGTGTAATAAGTAGAAAATTGGAATGCAAATGTTTTACACTCATGTACAGTCCAGGAAAATATAAATGATAGAAGAAATTTATATAATATCCATTTTAATTTCTGTTCAACCCAAGCAACAAAGGAGTCAGATATGCTTTACAAAGAAGGGAGTTAGCATTGGCTAAAATAAATCCTACAATGGGAAATACTAACCCAAATAAAGTAAGTAAAACTCAGATCAACACTGCGTGGAACTTTATTTTAATGTTGCAAAATAACAAATTATCCAATCAAAACATTTTAACCATGAAACGTGAAGATACATACCTAGCATTCTTTCTTCTGATTGACTCATTAATAGGTCCACTGCTGAAAGCCCAATCAACATTGATGGTTTGCGTAAGAAGCTCAGATCCATTCAAATTCTCTATTGCATTCCGAGCTTCCTCAGCACGCTCATATTCAATCAGTGCATAACCCTAAAATCAAAATACTCATCAGTACAGAAACCAAAATTTTCATGTGATCTATTTGCTGATGGAAATATGTGCTAAACATTGTTGCAGGAAAAAATAAAGAAAATTTGCCATTCCTGAAAGTGATATTAAAACACCAATAGATTCTGTGTGTATACTATATAGAAGCACAGATCGCAGAATCCCATACAGGAATAAATCCTGTTTACAAATAGTCTATAAAAAAGAGAATTATCATTTTTTAATAAAATAAGATGAGATGAAAGAAGGAACAGGGGCAAACAGGAGTAAAAGATACCATCGTAAACAAAAACAGAAAAGGAACAACAATAACCTACACATAGTTAGGAAGAATTCTATCTTTCTTCCTTTACATCCTTTCAAAATCAAGACAGTATTGATTTATAATCACAGCACCATTAATTTGGAAAAAAATTGTGATAATTAACCATGCAGTGAAACAAAATTCATGCCGTGAGTCATGACAAGCAACATAAAGCCCAACATGAAGTAAAATCACAACAACAAAAATGGAATCATCATAGTGAATCAGCAATACAAGACATCAACAATACAATTCCAGATTTTTATTTTATTTATTTTTTCAAAAAGAAAGAAGTAGCACCATGTAGGTCAAACATTCTCATTACCCAATTTGAGAAGGAGCACCATGTAGTTCAACCATATATTTATTTGTCAAGGTATAAAATTAGGGTGCGGCGGGGGGGGGGGGGGGGGGGAATCTGGTGCTTTTTGAAAAGGAAGAGTGAAAAGTTTAAGCCATTTTACAATTACAGGCATTGCAATTAAGTCCTGAGTTCCAAACTTTCTAATTATCAGTTTATGACAATGTAGTAAGCAATGGCTAGAAGTGTAGAACGAGAAGCGTTATGCAATGAATCACTTACAACTGGGAGGAATATAATAGTAATAATACAGTTATTAGGAATGGAAGGTTATTAGGAATGGAAAGAGGGTTTATCACTTACTTTGACATAACCAGTGCGACGATCGAGGTTCAAATGAAGGTTCTTAATCTCTCCATATTCACGAAATGCAGTTTGCAAATCATCCTCTTGCGCTTCCTCATGCACACCCGTGACCAAAATAATCCATCCTTCAACAGCTGCAGCAAAGCAAAAAATATAAAAATAAAAAATAAATTGAAAAATTGTAAAATGCAAAACCCTAATCCCAGTTGGCAAAGGTGAAGGGGACTAACATCTTTGAGGACCAGGGCCACCCTCGGTGGTAAGAGAGTCGAAATCGGAGCCGGAGAGTCGGCTGTTACGGTTTCCATCGGTGTCCTGACGGAATCCGCGTCCCTTGGTTTTCTTGGGGCCGGAGAGTGGAGAAGACGCGCCGCCGGCAGTGATTGCGGACTTGAGCTTGGGGTGAGGGGGAGAAGCGTCGGCGTCAGCAGCGCCGTCCTCGTCCATCAAGTCATCGTCCTCAGGCTCGAAATCCAACGCTTCGCCGTCTGCTGCGCTTCCCTGCATTTCTTTCTCTCTCTCTCTCTCTCTCTCTAACACACTCGAAGTCGAAGCAAACACTGATGTTGTGATATTATTTCAAGCACCGAGAGTGTGTGTTTGCGAACCCTTTATGTGATTTATCACTTCTTATGCATCCAGGTTTATCTAGGGCAAGCCCTAGTCTATTTATTAATTTTATTAGTTCGTTTATTTAAAAAATTAAAATTTTACTACCTTATATGATTATTTTATTTTATTTTTCATCACTCAAATGGCATAAGATAATTATTACCAAATAATATTGTTATCAACGTCACTGTGATATTTTAACCGTTAATTTTTGTTAATTTATGGTTATTATTTTCACAAATAAAATTCATTAATTAATTATTAATTCTCAATAAATAATAACCGTTGATCGACGAAAATCGACGATTAAGTATGATAATAAGATTATTTGGTAGTAAGAATATTTTATCCTGCTCAAATTTATTTTATCTATCATTAAAGGGAAATATTACTCTCCTTTCACATAAGACAACTTATCTCATATTCTCTCACATCGATTTTCGCACCTCACCTTTTTTTTTTTCCCTTGTAATGGTGGACCCACCTATTTTCTCTCTACAACATAAGATAGGTATCTTATGTAAAAAGAGACTAATAAAACCTATCATTAAATACTCAAACTTTCTGTTACCAAAAAAAAAAAACTCAAATGTATACTTAAAAAATGAGGTATTAATTCACCAAAAAAAAAAAATGAGGTATTATTTTATATTAAAAAGAGAATAAAAATGAGATGCCCTAGAGGAATAATAAATATAACTTTTTTAAAATTAAATTGATCTCGATTTAACGATAAAAAAGAGGTTATAAAATATAATTCCTTTATATTTTATTAACTTTCTCGTTAGCCCTATTCTTGAAAATAAAATTTTAAAAACTGTAATATAAAACAGTCCCTACCTCTGTCCTAGTGCGTCGTTATTTTGGTCTTTATCTTCGAAAAGAAAAAGAAAAGAAAAAAAAAGACAGTAATATATAGGCAATTAATATGTGAATTGAAATATTAATTTTATCTTGGATATGTTATATGTATATCAGCATATCTATCATCAGACTCGAGGTTGGTCTCAACAATTAGCATTTTCGGGTATATTGCTCTTATCTTTGATATGAATACCCTTTCTTCCTCTGCATCGACGCTCCATGGGCTTAATTTCTTCAGTGCCGGGTCGGTTCCTCTTCCCGGGTCAGCGTTGGCTTTGCCATCTCTGAAAACTTCAGCTTTCTCCGCAAAGCTTCCTCGTGTTGGGGTCACCAAGGCTTCCATTGCTGTTGAGCAACACACTCAACAGACTAAGGTTGCTCTCATCAGAATTGGTACCAGAGGAAGGTATTCTTTTTACCTATTTCTGCTTCTGGATCTTCTCATTACGCCTCTGTCTCTGATGCCTCACCCTTATCTTATTTTTTTTAACAAATTTTTGCCATTTTTTTTACCATTTATTTCAAAGGGGATTGCCCATCTTGCTGAGTTATATAGGTTTTCACTATTTTGTTCATAAGGGTTACTATATAAATGTGTTAACATTGTTTTCTCTTGGTCATTTACAAACGGTTTCTCCTCATATTAGGATAGATCATACATGTACACCTTCTCTGGCTCCAGTGTTTGATGGTATCGTTTTTGACTTTATTACTTTTTTTAAAAATTCTGTAAATTGGGATCAAACTCCGTTCGTTTGATGATTGTAATATTGTTATACCATGTCATTCATTGGTGAAAACAACTATGCAATTTTTTTAGTCATCTTGGTCTATGAAGCACCGACTCCGGCATTTTCGATACGTTCCCGATACATTCTTGATACGACCGTTAATTCGTCGATACGATACAATTCGTTTCCGATACGTTTCCCATACGCGTATCGGATACGTTGGAAAAAAAATTCGGAATATCGGTGCTTCATAGATGTTGGTAAGGTAGACTTGAGTTGACTTCATACCCATTTAAGCTTGAGAGATATTTAGGCTAGAAGTAATTATTTGCGGGGGGGGGGGGGGGGGGAAAGCAATCTGTCATTTCTTGTGCTATGAAATGTTGTATTTATTTCTTACCCAAGTATAATAACTCGCTTGATGATTATCCATACTTCCATTTTTGAGTTAACAGATATTCTCAGATTCCTACTTCCATTTTGGGTTATTTATGCATGTTTTTTTATGTGTAGAGCAGTCCACTAGCTCTAGCTCAGGCATATGAGACTAGAGACAAACTCATGGCATCGCACTCGGAGCTAGCTGAAGAGGGGGCTATTCAGATTGTAATAATAAAAACAACAGGGGACAAAATACTCACACAACCACTTGCAGATATAGGTGGGAAGGGCTTGTTCACCAAAGAAATAGATGAGGCGCTTTTAAACAGTGAAATTGACATTGCTGTCCATTCAATGAAGGATGTTCCTACTTATTTACCTGATAAAACAATCCTACCATGCAACCTTCAGCGGGAGGATGTCAGAGATGCATTTATATCCTTGAATGCAACTTCTCTAGCCGATCTTCCCTCTGGTAGTGTGGTTGGTACTGCTTCACTAAGACGAAAGTCACAGATACTCCACAGATATCCAACTCTAAATGTAAGCTGGAATTCTTTCTTACGCATTATCATCTAACAACCTGAAACCACAAAATTATTGTTTCCTATACATGTTTTATTAAATTAGCTTTAGCAGATGACTTAAATGGATGCCCTCTGTATAAGATTTCAAATTTTCTTTGCTGATTGCGGGAGTTCATTAAAGCTCTCATCATATGCTTAAACCTAATAAATGTATTAGATTTTTAAAATGCTTCTAAAAGCATGTAATGGGGACTGATATTGCTTCCTATCATAATATATTTTCTTATAGTTGACGTCAATTGTGATCAAAGCATTTAATGCAGTCATTTGTGGACGCTTGCATTAAGCAGACAATAGTTAGTATGCTGGTGTTGTGACCTTATTGACATGGATTGACGATTATGGTTGTGACTGTGAAGTAATAGACAATGTCATCCTTGTGAGTCTTACTCTAGGATTATGGGTATGGCATGTGTCTTCTTAAAAGTGCAGTCTTCAGAGAAAGCTATAGTCTCTTGCAATTTCCAATGGACTTTCTTGAAGCATTTCCGTTTTCTGTCCATGTTGTTGAACTGTTCTCGTGCTGCTTCATTTGTGAAATTATGGTTTTCTGGACTGCTGATAAATTGTTCTTGATTTTTATTTCTCAGGTACAGGAAAATTTCCGTGGCAATGTCCAGTCAAGGTTGAGAAAACTCAATGAGGGGGTTGTCCAAGCTACACTATTGGCATTAGCTGGACTCAAACGCTTAAATATGACAGAAAATGTGACTTCAACCCTATCAATTGAAGATATGCTTCCAGCTGTTGCCCAAGGTGCTATTGGAATAGCCTGTAGAAGTAATGATGATAAAATGGTGAGTGTTTAAATATTGTGGGACTTGCTTCTTCTTTTTTATTACTTTTTTTTTTTGGGAAGAAGGGGGTGGTTATGGGGATGCTAATCATGTCATGTAAAATCATATATATGTGGTTACATGTGTGTCATTAAATACCTAACTGAAATAAATTCATACTCAAACCATTTTTTACATTCAGGATCTGAAGTATTTCGACGTAATGAGAGAATATTACAATACTTGTTTTGTTCTTTACTCATTTTAGATTTTCCATATTTGCAACTTTTTTTTGTTTGACTGGTTTTTGCAGGCCGAATACATTGCTTCGTTGAATCATGAAGAAACAAGACTAGCAGTTGTCTGTGAAAGGACCTTCCTTCAGATTTTGGATGGGTCTTGCCGCACTCCTATTGCAGGGTATGCTTCCAGAAATGAGGACGGTAATTGCTTGTTTAGAGGATTAGTTGCTTCCCCTGATGGAACTCGTGGTATGAAAAATCTTGTTATGTAATTTGAGTTTTATCTACTTTTTAATCCTTCACAAGTAACTATTCTTTAAGCTTTTCTGCAATTCCCTCTGTGCAGTGCTAGAGACATCCAGGGTTGGTCCATATGCTGTTGAAGATATGATTGAGATGGGTAAGGATGCTGGCAAGGAGCTTCTTTCTCGGGCTGGACCTGACTTTTTTAGTAGTTAGCAACTGAGTAAGGAGATTTTATGGTCAATTTTTAGGTAAATTGCATTTCAAGTTAATTCATTCTTTGAGCTGTTGTAACTTTAAAGTAGATTAAACGTTCAATTGAGTTTGGGTAAGTAAGCCTCTCATCAGGGGTCAAATTGTTGTATTTTGAGGAGATTGGAATGCCAATTTTTTGTGGTAACGTGTATAATTCCCACGATTGTGAAGTCCGACAGTTCATGCTAAACACACACTTGGGTGTTTCTCAATTTTTCTTATATATTTTTTTCTTATTATTATTGCACAAGTAATATTTGCACCCCTTTTTGAAGTGAATAATACAAAGCATTAATGTTTACATCCCCCTTACAATGAAATTTTCTTTTGCCGTGAGCCATGATTCGGGATGAAATAGAGATTAGAGATCAATAACCCGACGGTGATTGAGATGGCCCAATTATTAGGCTGGTCCGATATCCGGCTTGAACCGTGAGCCCATGTATTCTCTTATTAACAAGAGAATAAAAATGAGATGCCCTACAAGAATAATAAATATAAAAATTTTCAAATTAAATTAATTTTGATTTAACAATAATAAAAGTGATTATAAGAAGTTATAAGAAATGAAAGATTATAAATAGAATCTCCTTTATTTTTAGAAAAGAAAATTGAGTAACAACTAAATATATTTTATTAACTCTCGCCTACGACTTTTGGTATGTGTTAGTTGGACTCCTAGTTTGCCCACTTTTGTTTTTGGGAGAATAGCTTGTGTTGCGACTGCATAAGGCTATTCTCCTGTCTAAAGACACATTGTTTTTTTTTTTTTTATAATTTTTTTTTTATTTTTTAAGTTAATATAGATCCCACAAGAGCGTGATAGGAATTGATAACAATGATGCTGAGATGATCTCTTATCTACTTAAGGAGAAAAAAGACAAAATTAATATGATCAGGTTGAAGCTTTATTAATATATTTTAACTTTTAAAAAAAAAATTTAAAAATTAAAACAAAATAAAAAAATAAAAAAAACAAAAAATTACGAAAATACCATTTGACCGTGTCCGACACGGTCAAATTCGCGTGTCGTAATGGTCAACGTGTCAGAAAAAGTCAACCGCGTGTCCGACACCGTGTCGGAGATCGAGCGTGTCGGACCCGACTCTTACTGTTTTTACAAGTGTCCGTGCTTTCTTGGTGGGATCCGTTAAAAAATATTGTGTGCTGCAAAAAAAATTCTTCTCCCATGAAAGGAGAAGAACAAAGCCCTTTGTTTTTATAATCTTTTTCATTTTTCCTTCATTCTCCATTTCCCATTTGTCTTTTGGGTTTCGAAACTCTTGTTTCTTTTTGATTTCCTCTGCACTTCTTAGCATTCGGGTTTCTGGGCTTGTGTTATACTTCTCTTGCGAAGCTTTTGGTCAGGAGACACTGTATCGTTCCTCACCTTTTTTCAGCAATACGCACCATTCATTTCTTGCGTTTGAATAGGTATTCTCCATACACTTTTCCATTTTGCATTTTTTTTGTCTTTCTGGACTGGTTTGTTTGTTTTAGCCTCTTTTTGTTCACATTTACTCTTTGAAGGTGGTGTTGGATGCTTGTGTTGTGGTGCCTGTTTTCATTGGTTTCCTTTTTAGTCTGTTTGAGCGTCTCTGCCTTCCTGGGTGAGCTTTGCATTTTTGGGTAAGTGATTTCATAACGTCCTTCCTCAAACATTTTCCAAACACTTGTGTGTTGTTGATAATGACTAGGAGAGGTGGAGCGTTTCGTATAAGAGGGTGTGGTCGTGGTGGTAGGCGGAGGAAGACAAGTTTGCATTTGTAAGAGGCCTGCTTGCCGGGGTCAGGTTTTGGCTTTGGGGCATAGACTGTATCAAGGAGTAGAAGCAAGTGGCGCTGCTTCGCGGTTATCGCAGTGTCAATAGTAGGAGGGGATCTGCAGTGCACCCAATTAGGCGAGGTCATTGCTCGAATCCTTCTGATTGGAGTTCTGGGCGCACTACTCCGAGCTCTCCAATCACGACTCCTTCCAGATGTTTTTCATTGGGGATGACAGAGCATTCATCAGTTACTTCCTCAAGGCGGGCTTCGTCAAACAAGAGAAGGAGTCCAAGTTGCATGCAACGATGACCTTTACGACCTCCCTTTTCCATCTTTTGATTTGCGACGGAAAACGTCCGTCACAAAAATTCTCATTCTTTTTGTCATTTACTCGAGTAAATGATATCAACTATCCGAGTAAATGATGAATTTTGCAAAATTGCAAAATTCCACAGAACTTGAAGGTTTCCACAACCAAACCCGCATGCCCTCTTTTCCTGTCCAAAATCATACCATAAGAAGTAAAGGTAGTCTCAATCATATGACAACACGTCTTTTGAAAGTTACAAGATAAATTCATGCATGCAAGTCCAAATATACAAAGGAAGCTAACATATTAACTAATACAACCCATAAAGCTCGAACCACATAGACAAGCATGCAACTCAATTTATATGGAAGAAAGGAGGAAGAGAAATTTTCGAAGCTTTCGTCAGTCGAACTTGTTAAAAAATCCAAATCTTACTTCACATTTTCACTTTGTACTCAAAGAACTCAATTATAAAATAGAAAATGTTATACTTCCTACTTATTGCTATCAAATCTTAACCGTTGATTTTCGTCAATCTAACGGTTATAATTTATTGGGTCACACTTATTAATTAATTATTAATTCTAATAAATATAACCGTTAGATTAACGAAAATCAACGGTTAAGACTTGGTAGTAACAAGTGGTAAGAAAAAAAGTTAGTATAACCTCTCCCTTATAAAATACTAGTGAATTACCTGTGCGATGCCTGGGGGGAAAAGAATGAAATCGTTGTTGCCGTCGTTGGATAATCATCACCTTCATCTTGCTATCAAGCTCTGAACTGTACTATGGTGGAGGTATAAACATGAAGGAACAAAAAATAAAAAAGCAAACTTGTTACTTGAGAATTATGTGAAATAAAAAAGAATTATCTGGCTATTTTGTGCTATTTTTTGAACTTTAAAAGGCTACGACATTCACACGGAACTTGTGTAAATATCAACCACAAACAAATCTGCAACTCAGAGACATTGATTGCTATGCAAAACAAATATAGTTATGTACTCAATAATTCATTCTTCAAATACAACCACCAATGAACCTTCTCCTTTGCATTATTATTCAATATGATCCCGTCTTATTGTTCAACTGTACACAAAATTTGCTACAAAATGAAATCAATTAATATACATGAAGAAAAAAAATTAAATGTTGTGCTGGTTGTTTATTTTATTTAGATGCACTTTTATTTATCACAATATGATTGTTCATTTTACTTAGATGTTTGTTTTTGAAATATTTACAGCAGTAAATCTAATTATCTTAACCATACAAAGACGAGTTTGTTAGACAGTAGATATAAAAGGGGGAAACATGTTCGCATGCGGGGTGGGCCGGCCCTCCGGGCCGAGCTCATTTTGCACCTCTAACTATCAACATTTTCTATCAACATATAATAGGTTTTCGTATTTATGTACACAAAAAAAAAGTTCTTATACTTACGTCTAGATTACTATGTATCTATTTTTTTCCTGTAGTTGTACCATATATATTAGATGAAGAGTTCAAAAATATTTGAGTTAGTACGTTTAATATTATAACAAACATTTTATAGTTGAAGTTAAATGTGGTAATATCAAAAGACCATTCATTTGCTTAATTGCATAAGTATAAATAATTATTCACAAAATTAATATGTATATATATAAACAGTGGCGGACCCAGGAAAAAAAATTTATGTCCGCACAATCAGTGGCGGGGTTCGGGGGCAGCGCCCCAGAATTTTTTTTTTTATATAAAAGTTTAAATCAACGCTTGAACCCGCTCATAATCTAGTTGCTTCCATAACAAGTTGCAGACAATAGTTTGACCAATTATTTTCCCCCTAAATCTTATCAATCCTTCAAAGCAAATATGAGAATATACTCCAGTACATCCATACATCATCATTCTATTTTGGGATATGTTATTTTACCTAACATTTTTCTGCCTACCTTTGCCTACCACTCTCCAATACCGTTAGATCAAAATCTCAAGAAGAGAGAAAAAGATAAATGTTAGTTAAGATTCTGATCTAACGGTGTTGGAGGGTGGTAGGTAGAGGTAGGCAAAAAAATGGTAAGTAGAATAACCTATCCCTTCTATTTTATAGTGGTGAATAAAAAAGTTAACACTACCTATACAGAAGTAAAACAAAATCACAGTGAAGGTCTCGTCTCTAGATATTAACTTATTTGAGAATGTTAGACCTACAATCAATCATCTCTCTTTATAAAAATAAAAAAGGAAACAAAGGATGAAGAGAACGTGGAAATGAGTACGTGACAAGGGAGGAAGAATATGTTTTCTTTCTAATCAATGTGCGTTGTTGCGTTGTTTTAATCATCTTCGTACGTTGTTACGTTGCTAACTAATATAAGAATAAATATCCTTTTTGGTCCCTAAAAAAAATTTGGTCCTCACTTTAGTCCATTATAAAAAAAAAATTAGTCACCTGATCCCTATGGACCCACTTTGGTCTTTCTGTGGGACTAGTGTAGGTCTTTTTTGAATTTGTGATGGACCACGATTTTAATTAAATTGATCTACTTTAAATTTTTTAAGGACCTCGAGACTAATTTTTTTTTGTAAAGGACTAAATTGAGAATCATGTTTTTTGTTAGGGACTTAAAAAATTATTTACTCCTAATATATATATTGAATCAAGAGACAAATAACAATCTACAAAAAAAAAAAAAAAAATTAAAATCAAAAAGTTTATGACCGCACTTGCGGGCATTTGCCCGCAAGTGGGTCCGCCAATGTATATAAACATATATTTAATGCATCATATTGAATCTGAATAGGGTTAGTTTAGATGCTTGTTTCTGAAATATATTTACAACAATAAATCTGATGATCAGCCACAAAATGACGAATTTGTTAGACAGTAAATATAAAAAAAATATGTGTTGGCGGGCAAACTCTACTATTTGGTGGGCAGGGTGGGCTGTCCTCTAGGTCCCATTTTATCACCTCTAATTATCAACATTTTATATCAGCAAGTAATAGATTTTTATATTTAAAAATAATAAGTTATATCTGATTTATATTTTAAATTCACATATAATTTTTAAAAAATTAAATATAACTATAAGTGTAATTTTACTTTGGTTTTAAGTATATATATTCAATTCA